TCCGATGAGTTGTACGAAGATACGTTGCCTTGCGAGTGGTACGAAAAGAAGCTCCCGATTCTAAAGAAACTGAGTTGTGCATTGAAAGATGTTGATGTTGGGGATGGGAGGTTGGAGGACATCAGCGGTGATGATTTGATCGTCAATGATGATCGTATCAAGCAGAAAATGCACAAATTCAAGTCCTTGGCCAGAATCTTTATCGGGTCTCCTTCAATCCAGCAAAAGCTCAAGGAAAAATGCTTCAAATTCCCACTTTTCGGGATTCAAAGCGAAAGAGAGCCTTTGGTTGTGGATACACTGACCAAAGTTAGCAACTTTCTTAATATATCAGCTCAACAGCGGAAGCTGGTGAGGTGTACGATATGTTCACAGGTCACTCAGTATCGTATATGGAAAGGTGCTCTTGAGGAGGTAATGGATGGTCTAAAAGAAGAGATTGATTGGCTGAATGACCATCGCCCGAGCAAAGACACCAAACTGGGTCATCAAGTGATATCATCTTGTCTCAAATTCTTGTCTCAATCAGCAATTTCGTACGAGGCCGATAACTCCACTACATGGATGCGGCCCGTGCCAGCGAAAACCGCAATGGCCAACGCTCCTCCAAAATGGGAAGATGTTCTTGAGATGGTCAGTGATCTGAAAAGGTATCTGGAACATGAGAAAACCACGCTTTACTACCTGGGCAAGCTTGTATCGATGAAAGAAGGGCTCGTCCAGATCAGAGACCTGTTTATGGATAAGAGGATTGGATACAGAGAGATTAGACATCAAGAGATCCTTGTGCCGAAAAAGCTTACAAAGACACTGGGTCATTCTTCTCGATGTCTGTTCATTCTGCTCCTGTATTACCTCTACGGCCGCGTTCATGGCATCGAGATTGATCTCTGTGGAGCGTTATACGAGGCAAATAGTGACGGTACGAAGGAGAAAGAGCTGTGTTTGAGCGTTGGGAGGATTTTGACTTCGGCAGAGGAAAAAATGTTGCAGAGAGGGGTGAGGCAACTGGACAGAGCTCTAGGGATCTTTGAGTTTGTGTGGAAAACGGCAGGAAGGAAAGAGGAGATAGAGCTGCAAGGTCATATATGGTGCCTTGGAGCGCAAGAAAGGTCCTTCACATACCGTGGGAAAACATTCTTTGTGCATGACCTTACTCTATGAGTTGATCCATTTTGCGGGTTTCATTGCATAATTGTCATGATCCTTTGTTGTTATTTCGTCGAACAAATGCTCGCTTGACATGATGCAGAGGCATATGACCATAATCTAGATATCATCTACATTGATGAGGAACAATGAAAGGACATATATATATATATATATATATTATTTGATTGTGGATTATAATTAGTGCTCATATTGATGCATCATGCAATCTTAGTCACAAAAGCTTTCTTTGTTCTTCCCCAAAGCTACATTCTTCATAAGGAGTTTAGTTTCAGTTCATCTAAGCGGTCCGAAGGTGCACAAAGAGAATGTTTTCGTATCCCCTGCTTATTCTCATCTTCTCGTCCGTGTACCTAACCATCAACATTCATGAAATTAGTCGGGTAGAAACCCGGCCATCTAACCAACCAACTTGTAGGAATCAACCTCAGAGTTATGTAAAAGGTGAAGATATTGTCACATGTAGGGTGTTGAGGGGTGAGAGAGCTTACATAATGTGAAGATTGATGGTTTTTTCCATCTCGACCGGATATCCAAATGGCCCACCTATGATTGCTCCATCATCCATCTTCAGATCATACCTGCTGCTTCCTGATTTCCTGCAGTTCAATGGATACTTGCATCTTACTGTGCACTTTACTCGTCAATAGCTTATCCTATTCTGTTTCAAATTATGATTTTGAAACTAGTTTTGTCACCACAGCAGATGAAGACTGTTTCCTAGGGAGCGAAACCATCTTTCTTTTCTTTTTCTACGTTATATGTCGGTAGATTTGGTTAGGAACTTACATGAACTTGCCACTCATGGAGAATCTGAACGCGGGCACAATATTAACCTCAAATTTCATCCGTCCATCCTTCTTGACAATCTGATCAAAACCAATGCGTGATAAAAGGCTCAAATCAGTGAAATGACCGAAGCAGCCATTCTACCACGGCATATACTATTAGTTACCTGCTTGCCCATTAGACCATTGGCCGCGTTCTCTATCCAACTGTCTGTTTCCACCTGCAGTATAAATGTCGAAAAATATTATCCAAAAAGCAGAGCCAAGAAATATAACCAAAAGGGTAATGTTGGAATCACCTGTGAACTCCAGATCATTTCCCAGTCTCCCTCTAGAAGCTCATAGTCATTGTTTTCAGAATCAGAATTCAAAGAAAGGAATTCATTGATAGCCTGCAATTTCCTTTATGGTTCACCGATTTTATATTACCACAAAAAAGGAGCAAGCTTTCTGTTCAAAATTTGCTGAAGCTTTACCTCTGTTACCCCGTTTCCTTCAGCAATGGCAGCCAACAGCTTCTGCCTGGGCAAGATCACCTTTTGTAGCACAAATGTGGTTCCCTGTGCTACAGAAATATCCCCCGCCCTTTTAAGAAACTTAAGATGAACAAGAAGGATAATGTTTTAGCATAAAATCCAGAAACCTGTTACCTTGTTTCCCCTTGAGATGCGAAGGTTTCCAGAGGGTGATAAGTATGTCGTGTCTAACCAACCCTTTGCTTCATCGCCAAGAAGTCTGAAAGGAACTGGATATGGAACTTTAAAGGGAAGGAACTTGAAAGAAAAAGCCGCTCTGTCAAACCGGAATAGGATCCTTTTGCCGTCTTTAATGGATGCGACTGCCTGTTTTAACAGGAGCATGAGTTCTTCTCAGTCTTTTATGGACTGTGAGAGCTGTTTCCAAGACAAAGCTGCTAGTGATGGAACTGGAAACACCAGGTCAAGAAAATGGATGGGCAATACCTCGACTTTAAGCTCTCCTACAATGTCGGAGAATTTCACAATGTTTGACACTCGGGGATCGTTTGTTCTTAGGTATATGTCTTGAAACACTGTAAACACATCCACCCCGACAAAGGTTCTCTGCGAAAAAGACCAAACCGCAAGTCACAAAGGAAAGTCACCTAACCAGTCTACTTCATCTGGGTCAGTGAAGAAGCCTGGAATTTCATTCCCAAACATTGATACTGTTCTTTCCAATATCATTTGAGGAAAGATTAAAGGTTAGATAGATGATTCAAAGAAGCAACTTCATATGCTTAGTATAGTTCAGTTATGTGAACAAGTAACCCACCTGGATTGGGGATGCAGTTCCAGGTCTCGTGGTGAACGTTAGCCGCCAACGACCTTCGACCAGACCAGAATCTGTCTGTAACATGTCCATGTTTCGAAACTATAAGCTCAAACAAAGCAAGATTAAGGTTGATAGAAAGATTTTAAGGGTTTCACAAGAAAACATTCATACAGGATTCTTGAGGCCCTCTAAACCTTCAAGGACCTTCACAGCAGACTCCACATCCTAACATTGGATAAATGATTCAATCAAATTGAGAAACAGACCCAGAACCCACAACGGCAAAAAGATTGAAGTTCATACACTGAGCTGTTGAGGAGAGGCAGATCGGCCGCGGCCCTGAATCCCAATTAAGGCGTCGATGAGCTTCAACTCGGCGTCACTGAACGATATTTGTTGTGTTTGGTCGGTGGTAATCGAGGAAGACGAACAATTAACACGACGTAACTTGGGCGAATTGGGTGTCTGGTTTGTGTTTAGGAGACAAAATCTCGGTGACGAAGATGGGCATGGACATAGATACGGCAACGCCATTGTTCAAGTGCGAAATTCGGGAGGTGGAGCTGTTCCTGTCTGGGAAGCTCGGTGTGTGTTTTCATGGTGTTTTTGAATGATCCAAGTGTTGTGGAATTTCCATGTGTGGCGTACAGAGCCTGAGAATTTGTAATAATATCTTGGAAGATTCAATTCTCTGTTTCAAAGAAAAAAAATTAAATAAATAGAAAACGGAAAATGGGGTTTTAGTTATGATTTTCAAAAGCCCAGGCGCATTGTTCAAATCTTCAAATATTATTATTACTCGTTTTGATAAAAATTACCATTAATATCGTAATTATTAGTCTTTAAAATCTGTTTCATGTACATGTAATGGGGTAGGAGGTAACTCTACCGTGAGGTTCTACCGGGAGATTGTGTTCGATTCCTGACTGGTAGGAAGGAATGTAATTTCTGGGTTTATATGATCGAGGTAATTTCTGGGTTTATATGATCCATATACAAAGGTTGTCCTCTCGGGCCGGAGGTTTACCTAGTCAGTGCGCCCGAAGTCTAGCAGCTAGGGTCCTCCGTTATCAAAAAAAAAAAGACGACTGAAGAGACGAAGATGGAAATGCAGATGAAATAGTTTTTCGGAGGAAAAAAAATGATAGTAATTCATTTAATTTAATATCGTGAACCCACTTATATATTCCATAAAATATTGACATAAAGGCAAAAGATACAAATATATATATATATATTCTAGAGTCAAAAACGGTTGTCATCGAGTAATAAATGATCGTGGAAAAAAAGGGGAAAATGGTCGAGGGCATTTTTGGCGGCGAGATTGCGAGCGCTCTCCTTCTTGAGAGGATGAGTGCCTCTTCCGACCAAACGGCCGTCGATGAAGACGATGAACTCTCTGTTCTCTTCCCACATGTCTTGGAACCTCAGCTTCAGACTGCTCTTCTGACACTTCTCGTGCAACTCCGTGTTCGGATGGTTCCCCAATCTCTCTACGTATATTATCGGCTCCAACAATGGCTTAAACACCTACATACATACATATATATATATATATATATATATATATTATATAACCCCACAATATATATATATATATATATATATATTATGACTCGTATATATTCTTATTTCTTCGTATAAAACAAGTTAGAGTTCGCGATCCAATCCGCTATCGGACTCATTTTTTTTATAAACTACGAAATATCCTGAATGACGTACAAATATATGAATCGAAACTTTTAACCCTTATAAATTTAGATTAATCCTCAACGGTAAAGTATGAGCACAAAAGATTGATCTATTCCCGAATAGAGTATATATATAGAGAGAGAGATTATTGAAAAGAGTATATAGTGAGTATATATATGTACCTCCCAAACTGTATCGATGGAATTGCAGTCGATGAAAAGAGCTCCAATGGTGGATTCTACAATGTCGGCCAGAACTTTTGGGACCCTTATCAGTCCGTGCGAATGCAGCGGGTGTTCTTCGATAGCGATCGAAAATTCCTTGATCTGTTAATATAATATAATATAATGTATATATTAATTTTACATGCCATCATTTGTTATATACGGATCGTTAATATACGTATAAATACACAGATTTTTCTATCTAATATATGCGATAATGTATATCGAAATATGTAAACCTTATTACGTATAAACACACGTCATTCGACTAATACACATGTCGTGCATCGCAATAATAATAATAATAATAAAATAATAATAATAAATGGTAATCAAAATAGTTACTTAACCATAATCTAATGATGAAAAAGAATTACCTAACCATCAGATCAGCAAATTCCAAGTTTAGGGTTTTTTTTTCCTTTACAACAACTTACTTGGTCCTCAAGTAACGGCTTCTTGTGACGAAGACAGCGATGCAAACCGTGTTTTACGGCGACGCGGGCCAACTTCTCCGTGTCAACGTTTGCGGCTCGGAGCCGAGTCAATAAACCCGGTGGCGATTCCGGGTATAGGAAGAAGAACTCTCTCGTTATTACCAAATTCAAAACCGAATCGCCGACATGTTCCAAACGCTCGTACGAAACGCTATCGCCGTAAGACGCGTGCGTGAACGCTTCTTCCAGCAAACGCTTGTCTTTGAACTCGTAACGCAGAATCTCCTCCACGAACTCGATGCCCAAAGGCGGGTCATGAGGACCGGGTTGCGATGACTCGGGGCCTGACCCGTTCTCGGTGGTGGAGCTGTCTGTGTGACTCGGTTCCATGGTGAGGGTTTTGGTGGAAGCAGAGCTCTGTTCCTGAAAACGGAAGGAGGGTTTCTTATATAAGTCAAGTCCTCGTGGGTTTTCCTTTTTCTCCTTCAGATTTTCTTATTTCCTTTTTTATTTTTTGTGAATTCGTTTTTCTTTTATTATTTCTATAATTTATTCCGCATGATCATGCATATACTTTAATATTCAACTTCAAATCTATATATGATAAAAAAAGATTAAATAAGAATCCGATCTGTTAGATGCAAAATTTATCTTTTATTTTAAAAAATAATCGTTATTATTATTATTGGTAAATATAGTTACATTTGAATTCAATTTTTTTCCTCATAGCTTTAATATTTTGTTTTGGTGGAAAAAGGATGAGACTAATAGAGACAATATAGAATCTTAATTGATTTAGATTTGTATTCTTACATATAATAACTACAACTATTTCCATCATAATATACTCTACGAACCAGAGGAAAACAACACGAAATATATATATATATATATATATATATATATATATATATATATATATATGTGTGTGT